GGTTAGGTTAGATTGGGTTAGGTTAGGTTAGGTTAGGTTGGGTTAGTTTATGTTAGGTTATGTTAGGTTAGGTTATGTTAGGTTAGGTTCGGTTCTTTCCGCTCGTAACGATTTGTGGTAGACTGGGAGCGTTCAGTTGATGTGAAGTATAACTAATTACTTACCAGTATGTACATTTCATTAGAGGGGGGGACTTCACATTAGTTGCTAGGAGAGGGGGCGGATCTGTCGAACCGAGCATGAATTGCTTAGTCAGTCAGTATCCGGAATTGTTTTCTTTATATTCTTTCAGAGGACTGGCGTCCGACCCAGTTACATTTACACCGACTGACAAACGAGCTCATTTTTCCTGAATGTTTTCGTTTGAGGAAATGCATTTCCTGACACGTCTCCAGCCGCGGGCGTGAAGCCCGGTTCGTTCTTACACGCCAAGGCCTATATGCATTCCACTCTCGCGTTCGTCGGGAAGTGACTCCGGTATAATTACGTAAAAGAACGTTTCTTGACAAATGTTAGAATGTCCCGGGTGTCTTGTCTTGTCTGCGTTCGATAGATCCCGAGTTTAAATATTATAGTGGATACCGCATATCCTGACTGACGTTTACACAGTTTTCCTCAGTCCTTAAAGGCAAATTCTGATTGCCGGTTCTTTCTATGGAGTTTCCAGTTCATTTTTCACTAGCCTACCTACCAGTCGATGCTACGTTGTCTATGATTACGACACCGTCGTTAATGAAACGTAGTTACGTTCGACAGCTTTTGATCAATACTTTTAACCTCGACACCAATGCGAACATGTTCCTCCCTAATTTTGCTCTATAATTTTTCCGGTGTATTTTCAGGAACTTTTTTCAGTGCTGGTAAATTAACATTTGTGATTATAGGTTATGTAATATTTAAAGGAGTCTCTTTCTTTTTCAGACGACGAAATGGCAGAGGTGCGAGGTCTGGTGACAGAAGACGGTCTGTTCGATGGTACCATCTCGACGCGTTTTGAAGATTTTTATATAGAGCCAGTTAGACGCTACGTGAAACAAAACACGAGCGCGCCTCATTTCCATACCATTGTGTACCGATCATCAGATGTCTACGGTCCGCAGTTAACTCAGCCCTGCGCCTCGCAGATCCTGCACATCAACCACAATGCACCGCGAGACATAAACGAAGATCTCACAGCGTCAGTTCGAAGAAAGGAAACGAATCTCGGGGACTGCGAGATTGAATGTGGTCGTGACAATTGGAACGCGGCGGATATAAATGAAGATCGGGCTATAACAACTGAAAATAAACGAACGCTCGACGTCTCTGAATCTACCAAAGGGAAATTGGTTTCTGATACAATAGAGAACGAACGCTCGACGTCTCTGAATCTACCGAAGGGAAATTGGTTTCTGATACAAACGAGCGCGGACTTGAAAATAAATTAAGTAAAGTAAATCATATAAAAGGATTAGTAGAAAAAGAACACAGAATAAATCTCGAGGAAAACGAGACTATGATAGTCGGCAACGATGCTCATGTTTACAGCCAGTCAAACAAAGTAAATGATCCAGGATTTGATGCTGTTATTCGTTCTCACAGAAAAAACAGACGGAAGAGATGGCCCAGTGACGAAGTGCCACTGTCAGCAGGCTCCAGCAACCCCTCCACGCCCCCCCGCCACACCAGTCGTCTGGATACGTATTATTATAATCCGAATGTGTTTTACGATTTTCCGAACGAAAGCCTGTCCTCTACCGGCAGTCCCGACGAAGTGATTAGTGTAAGGCATGTCCACAAGCGCGCCACTGTCGACCCCAAGAAGACAACTTGTATGCTGTATCTGCAGGCTGATCACCTTTTCTACCAGAAGTACGGGACAGAGGAGGCGTGCATCGAGGTCATGACGAGGCACGTGCAGCGCGTGAACTCCATCTACAAGACGACAGGTAAATCACATTGATAACGCAGCGCAGAGACCGGCAAAGAGTACCCAAGCGGTGACATCTGTTCGTCTGTAACGGACATCATCACCAAATTGTGTGCCTCAAGGTCATTTTTCTGTGACCTTGAATCACGGAATACCGTTTTTATTTCTTTTATTTAAATAAACCGACCACGATTTAATAAAATCACATTGTTCTTTGTCAGATCGCCAAACTTAGAAATATAGTTTGACTTAAGATGGCTGTCTTCTGGGTTATAGCGCCGTGTAGTCTGGTAGAACTTTACCGACGTTTCAGAGGTCCTTGCTGCCTCGCCGTGATGATGAAAGCCGAGAGTAGCTCGAACCCCCGGACACCAACTGTGAGTACAATTTCTGTTTTCAGATTTGAACCCCGTCGAGTGTTGAGTATTATTCAGCGTTTCACCAAACACTGCAGTTGCTTCTCGCCGAAACGCTGGGTAATACTCAACATTCGACGCTGCCAACACCCGAAAGCTGAGATTGTACTCTGAAATCAAGCCGCGAAGATCAAGAATTATCTCGATCTGTAGACCAGTTCGGTGTATCGGATTTAACAGAATAGGGGCCCTCCCGCATGTGACACCTGAAGACGAAAGAATGTCCATCCTTCGAAACGCCGATCCTTAGTTGACTGTAATTATAATTTACCCCACTTTTGTGTTTGTGGGCCCTCGCCTCCGCCCACAGCTCGAAGACCCGTCGTCCTTCTGCAGCTATGTATCTCGAAACTTGTGTACCGCATTATAGAGCACAGGCTCTTCGTTGCAGACTTCAACCAGGATGGGAAGCCCGATAACATCAGCTTCATGGTGAAACGGATCAAGGTGTATTCAATGGATGCGCTCAAGGACACTACCTACAGGTTCCCGCTCAACTACGGCGTCGAGAAGTTCCTGGAACTTTTCTCAGGTGCGTGTAATTTCTGTCTCACATTCCGCAGTGGTTTATTTATTTAGTGTTCTGTCTGACGACAGGTCCATATGAACAGGATCCTTCCATCCTTTTCTCGGACTGGGACCTGTTCATATACGTTCTTGGCAGATGATCCAGAAGTGGTTTGCCATTGCCTTCTTCTGTGTATGAATGGAGTAATTGTTGGGATGCCACGGAGGAAAACTCCGTGTTGCCTAGACCACGGCCTTGCCCAACACAAGTTATAAATTCGGGCACCGCCGGCAATCGAACCCGAGACCCCAGGATTACAAGGCCAGCGTTCTGACCGCTAGACCACCGTGGGGTTTCAAAGTACGTGAAGATTGCGTACGATTTGACGTCTCTTTAAAATTGTCTGAAGTGTCGAAGTGGATTTGGGGACTCTGGATGTGGATAGAGTGTGTCTGCTTCTGTTATGGAACAACTCGAGGCTGACAGTAAAGAAAGATCATATATTTTTTTATTCCGGAGGCCTCGAGGCTGACAGTAAAGAAAGATCATGTATTTTTTATTCTGGAGGGGGGTTGGGGGTGGAGAGTTGGAGAACTGGAAGATAAAAAATAATTCCAGGCCTTTCTTCTAACTGTAACGATTTACGATTTCTGCTGCACGTGCCTGCGTATGTCTTTTTATTCTGCAAATTAACTTGGTTTTTGCGTGGCCTAAGCCATTTTCCGCAGGCACATTGAAGGGATTTGAGACCCAGAATTATTCGGCTTGTTAATGTTGACACAGTAACGTCGTGTAAGGAAAATGCACGCAACATAATTATTTATCTCACGCATTCGATTTTCGCTGTCTCCTGTTTTAATATGACGAGTGTTTAGCGAATTGTGTATAAAGATACAGGCGATAACTTCGGCAGATAACCCATGTTGCCCCGATTTAGACCAAATTTATATTTTCGGAAGAATCCGATAAAACCGAATTTTTACTCACGCGCGTTTTGTCAATTTGGAATCAGGTCTCGATTTACGGCAGGGACGGGGATTACTTTTCTTTGGCACCACGTCCGACAAACTCTGGGGCTCCGGGTATGTAACTACCGCAGAAGAAAGCCCCATCTGGTGCCCAGATTAAGAATTCATTCAGCTGTATCTCCATTTCTCCTTACTTTTTCATGGCTTGCCCTTGCCTGCTTTCACTTTTATAATTAGTTGTGTCACTATACAGGGTGTTTCAAAATCGATCTGTCATACGTCGTGGTTGATCTAGGGGGTCATTTCGAGTAAGAAATATTTAATAAACATTGGTTCCATATCCAACCGTTACGGTCTCGACGTGAGTTCAAGGGGAAATGAACTAAATTATTAATCAGATTAATTTATTCTTGCATGTTATGAGATACGTCTTGTGACTGTACAAAATATCCGCGTGGGTTTCATTGCACAGCCTTGCTCGTTCTAAACAAGAGCTTGCTGCCCGTTGAATCATTCTGGTTTGTCCTCGTGTGTAAACATCATCCTAGATACGTAAGTTCCTGTTTCATGTCTTCCGGTCCTGTAGGTAATCTCTTTCATAAGATCCCATAGATAGAGATAAAGTTGGGTTAGGTTCGGAGATCTCGAGGGCAAAGATTCTTAACCACGATGATAAATGGAAGGTACTTTGTTGGTGGCTGTCACAACGTCCATATTAAATTTAAAATGAAAATCTGTCTATTCCGATATTACTGAGATGCGCGTTCGCGCCATGATTATACACTAATTTTTTTCTATTAATTGTAGAGGCTACAGAAGAGCAGTGTGGGATTTATCACCTCTGTGCATATTCCGGCGTTTGTTGAATTAGAGAAGGGTTAATATCTGAGTCTGCATAGTAACAGGGTAATAGCGTTCCTTCGTAGTATCAACCGTGTTTTTGTCGAGGCAATTTTGCTGCGGTAGCTGTGCATTTGTTTAGCTCATGTGACGTCATTAATGTGGTTGAAATTCGAGCCGCATGACGGCAGCACTTTCCTTGTCGTGTATAATCCCCTGTTTCGATATAATTCCTCGCGTAATGTCATTCATTTGTTTTCATGAAGACTGCGTATAAAACGCGCGTGGAGCGTGTTTAAAATATGACGTCATACTTGTCATAATCTGAGAAATTGTGAACTGAATTACATCAGGCATTTACCAAATTCGATTTTATTGTAACCTTTTTTACAAATTTAAGTCTGATCTGTTATCGTCATTCCTACTTTTTTTTTTAAGGTTACCAAACACGTATTTAAAACCAGTGTGAATAAGAAATGCATCGGACAAGTGATTACTTTAAAATCGACTGTATTTTAGGACTGAACATTTTATATTAGTCTTTTGAGGCATCCTGAAGTACGTATATTCCCAATACAGCCAAGTTGTAACCTTCATAAATTGCATTTCAGTATGAACGTTGTGATATTAAAATTGTGTTTAATCTTATTTCAGAGGAGGATTATGATCAATTCTGTCTGGCTTACATGTTCACCTACCGAGACTTTGAGATGGGAACATTAGGTCTGGCTTGGACAGGAGACCTCAAGAACGCTGGTGGTGTGTGTGAAAAGAACGGGGTAAGTGGCTCTTAAGAGCTGGTGTCTGTAACGGAGATTCGCTTGAAATGAGTTGAGCGCAATTACTCTTTTGGTAACTGTGTTCAAAAGCTAGTACGATAAATACAAGCAGGCATTCAGATCCTAATTTAAGGAGCTGTAGTTTCCAGAATTTAAATTTACAGGCAGATCGGCATAAAAGTTAAGTTGAGACGTAGTCGTAACTGGAAAGAATATTATAAATTACAAAAATGCAGTCTGGATGGAACTAGCTTGACAGTAGGGAGTCTTTTTGATTAGATTAACATTTCTGTTCATTTTAGCATTACCGAGGGAGCATGAAGAGCCTAAACACCGGGATCGTGACACTTCTTAACTACGGAAAGCACGTTCCCCCTGCCGTCTCGCACGTCACACTTGCTCATGAGATTGGTCACAACTTCGGCTCACCAGTGAGTGATTCTCAATTTTGTCTCATCAGGTTCTGATATCCATCCGCCTGATAGTTTCATTTAATATATCAGCGTCAAAGAATGAGCCTTGGAGTCAAATATTTATGTGTTGAAGATTTTATTAATGAAGTAATTAATCTGTTTAATAAAAAGACTGTGAACCCATTTGTTTATTGTTATCGTTAGATGATCTGTGATTTATAGAGGCCGTAAATTGTGTTTTGTTACTTTCGTCTTCTCAGATGAATTCACCTAACCATCTAAGTTACGTCACAGCAAAGTTGTCCCTTGGCCTACGTATTATATACCATGAAGTTGTTTAGGGTTTGTGAAGGAAACCTCCACATATTATAGCCCAAGGTCTTAAATAAGAGACAGCTTTATGCTTCAAACACTTTACACCCTGAAGAAACTCCTTGGTATCGACTAGATTAGCCTGGTGATCTTCGGTCGTCTTCGGTCGTCTTCGGGTGGTCTGTGATTTTCGTATTCTTTTGTTTCTCAGCATGACCCTGATTTATGCACTCCTGGTGGTGATGATGGTAACTTCATTATGTTTGCACGGGCAACGTCAGGAGACAAGAGGAATAATAACAAGTTCTCGCCGTGCAGTCTGAACAGTATCAACCCCGTTTTGAATGCAAAGGCTCGTAGTCCTAAGGGTTGCTTCACAGGTCAGTGTATACGCCAATTCCCGGTTTAGAGTTCGGATCTCTGGACACTCGAGAACAGAGCTTGGGTGAGGGTCTGAATATCCTGACTGAGGTTCTTCCTGGTTCTCCTCAGTGCTTCCAAACACGTTGGGATCACTTTGTTTTAAATTTATCGTTCAATCATTGTTGGTTTCATTGCTATATAACCTTTGCAATTGAGAAGGTGTCATTAAACAAAATTAAGAACAAGCATAACTTCTCCACCCTGTCAGGTAAAAACTTGGTCAGTACTTCTGAGTCGGCTTCGTCATCCCGAATTCATCACAGATAATGATTCTCACGTATTAATCATTTCGTCATTTAACTGAGTGTTGATGAAGAGCTTTGGTTTGCAGAACCACAGGCTGCCATCTGTGGGAATGGAGTAGTGGAAGTCGGAGAGGAATGCGACTGCGGCTGGGAGGAGGACTGTCGAGATGAGTGCTGCTTCCCACAGCGCAGGTACCCACCGCCTGAAGAGCCGCCTTGTAAACTCACTCCACATAGCATATGCAGCCCCTCACAGGTAAGTGTCACTTGTGTTACTCAAATATTTTGCGCGTACATGGGGACAGATTCCGACTGCTCTTAGACGAACGGAACTGATTCACCAAACTATCGGTGCAAGAGAAATGAAAGGAGTTTATTAGTTCATAGCCTGTCTGTTATTAAGTAACTTCATAGGGCACATTCGTTCTTGAGAAACTGGTAGTCACTCACCTGGTTAGGAAAGTTCCTGACTTTCATGGAACTCAAATAAAATTCTGTAACTACCCTGAAGGTGGCTTGTTTTACGAAAAATTGGCAGAAAACTTAAAATGTAATCTGAAAACTTTATTTCAGACATTATTTAATTTTTAATAATGTACAAAGGAAAATAGAATGTATGTCTACGCTTAAGTACATTTTTACACTCTCACATGCAGTTGGTTTTGACGTGTGCTGTATTGCAGGGTCCTTGCTGTACCTCATCGTGTGAGCTCAAGTATGGAGACAAGTGCCGAGATGACAATGGCTGTCGAGACGCAAGTTTCTGCGACGGACGCGGACCACACTGCCCGCCCTCTATCAATAAACCCAACAAGACAATCTGCAATGAAGAGTTTGTGTGTTTCATGGGCGTAAGTATTTATTTTTGGTTTGAAGTCGCAATGGGGACTGTTTTTCAAATTGTTCATTTTATCTTTAAAAATTTACAAGAGAATAACTAATCAGGGAATTTAAATGGTATCTCTGTATACACGTGTAAAATTTTAATTTCTGAGGGTACTATATTATATTCTGCCAAGTTGACGCGTCATGTCCGCACGTCATGCATTATCTACACCTCCATCGAATTATACGTCACGGTTTTTGGCTTTGCAATCGCGCGTAGCGTGCAGTCCTTCCGCTCTGTTCTGGGTCGTGGTGCACAGCAGTTGAAAGCAATGCTGAAGTGACCGTGTTTCCCATTCTGTGGCAAGTTACTGTAATATCTGTGGTTATTATAATAAAGAATTAAATTGCCAAAGGAATGAACAAAGAAACAAACAGGTTTACGTAACAATTTTACAAAAAAACCTCTATCTCAAAGCGAATATAGAGTCGAACACTGGAGATATAATAGTCGAGATGAAATAATGAAGATACTAACGCTGTTTTCATTACAAGGGTTTCGTCAGAAAACAGATGAGAGTATTTTTTTCCAGGAGAAAAATACTGAAAAACACCTAATTTATGGAGCTGTTTACTGAGAGAAAGCCACACCTTCTACTTAGGTTCATTCATTGATGCCACCTGCGTTTACAAACGAAGTCCTATAATACACAACCTGAATACCAGGGTTATGGCGGTACCTCGGTTTTCAGACCATAAGTTGCTATGTTTCAGTTGACATATATGTATGAGTCTTTGTTCCTGTATTTATGTTAACAGGAGTGCACAGGCTCCATCTGCCTTGCATTCGGACTTGAATCCTGTCAGTGTATTCCCGGACCACACGACCCCAAAACAAAGGCCTGCGAGCTGTGCTGTAAGCTGCCTGGAGACAACCAGCCATGTCTGTGAGTCTGCACACTTTCGTCTTGCGGTTAAACCCGTTGTTTCAGCGCACGATTAATTGTATTCGCTGCGTCTGAATGTAAGAAAGGAAGATGTTCTGATGAAAACACTTACATTTCATTGTATTCTTCGGGTTACGATATTTTAACCGTTTGACAATTATGGCATTAATTTAAGTTTCGGCACGAGTTATGTGAAATAAAATGAATCTTGATCAATACTTTCAGATGCTGTGAAAAGGTGAAGTTTCCCCCGTAGTTTGACTAGGAATAAACTTAAAAAAAATTTGTTGATATTGTGTTTACGCACCCGACTGTTGCAGGTCATCTTTCGACTGGAACACGACCCCGTACGACATGCCGGACCTGTTCTCCAAGCCAGGAACGCCTTGCAATGACTACAACGGGTACTGCGATGTCTTTCAGAAGTGCAGAGAGGTGTGGGATGTTCAAAGTTAAACTGATGCATGGAAAATTATACTCTTTTTCTTTATTTTTTTTTCAGATGTGTTGCATAATAGATGGTCTAGTCTCTTTTAGTTCAGAATGTACTGTGAAGCAGTGATCCTCTTACACATTTGAAGGTGGATTATTATTATTCTGTCCTAACGTTAAATAAGTATGGAGGTTACCTTGGTTGCCATGGTTACTGAATTGCGTCATGCCGATAGATGACAGACGTGGCTAGCCCTGTATGCATTCTTTTCATGCACGTTGTTCAGTGAGTGTGTAATGACAAGGAAATGGGCGTTTTTCAAGCTCCTAGATGCTTCTGTCTGATTTTACTGAGCTTTCGTGTACTAATATGGATGGATCTGAAAAGACGCCATTGCCGGTTACTAGAAAGTCGCAGACGCCAAGAATGTGAAGTCCCTGCCATGGACGTACAGACATAACAGTAGTGCGTGGTTGACTTACGCAATGTTCTTGGAGATCCTGACATGTTTGGAAAGGAAAATGGCTGCCAAAAATCAGAAAATTCTGCTGTTTGTAGACCACTGTGCGGCACACTCGAAAGATACCAGTAAATTAAGAAATTTACACATGGAATTTCTGCCAGCCAGCGCAACATCAGTCCTGCAACCTATGGACAAAGGGATTAATCAGGTCTTTGAAACAAAAATATTATAGGCACCTTGTTTGCTAGTTCTTGCGGAGAATTACAGCCACCAAAGAATGCTACGAAGTATCTTAAATATCATATCCACATTTGAAGGACCCTGGAATGCTGTCAGCTAGAAAATTATTGCAAATGGTTAATGGAAGGCAAGAATCTGTGAAACTCTAGAACCTCACATTCAAGATGCAGATGACTCGGAATCAAGTCCACGCATCTGGGAAGATGAATGTGACATTTACGTTTGAAGAGGCTTGTGACAGTCGTCTTCCTTTTGCAGTTCAGGAAATTAACATCCCTTGTATTGAAGATAATAATGAGGGTGAGGACGAGAAAGAGGAGGCAGCAATGTGTAAACCAATTTCTGAGTGCAGTGTTCGGATGCATGCTGTCACTTCCTCAGTGGAATTTGTGACGTAACAGATCAGTCGTCAAAAATCTTTCGAAACTGGAAAATTTTACTTCAGATTTGTTTAAAGACATAAAATATGTTCTTCAACAAAGAATAACATTTCAGAACAGACTACTTTATTTTAACGACGGCATTAGGAACATGTAGTGTGTATTTTAAAGTCTGTGTTACACATGTCTCTTTATTGTATAAGTATTAATATTAACAGTTTCCATCCAATGATGTAGATTAAATGTGTTTTGTTTTTCCTGGAACCAAATTTTTAAATATTGCCCTGGATTAATTTTTTTTTTTTCTGTAACATGTTAATTACTCTACTGTGTTTGATATCTCTGCCAAAATTGGGATCAAAAATCATAAAATTAAACTTTAACTCTGTGTGTGATTTTCAGGTGGACCCATCAGGGCCACTCGCCACGTTACGCAAGCTGCTGCTGTCAGATGAGAGCATTGCATCATTCAAGCGGTGGGTCACTGACCACTGGTACGCTGTTTTACTCATCGTGTTAGCAGCCCTGTTGATTCTGGTGAGTACTGTAACTTAGATAAGATGCTATTACTCTCAGGATAGGCGGTCGGGTGGGCCCCTTAGCCATTCTGAATGCGGAGGCTAGAAGAAATATCCTTTGCCCCTGCTGGGGATTGAACTCTAGTTATCCAGAGATGTATGCAAATTGGAATAGAAATTGCAGTCTGGTACTGAAAAATTACACAAGCAAAAATAGTGTCTGTGTCTCACTAATGACGTATTTTGTTAATGAGAATTACTGAGTTATATACGTGAAACCGCTTCTGGTAGTAAGAGTGTTCTAAATACACTGTCATGATGTTTCTATAAATTGTCCTTATTTGTAACACTGCCCATAATTCAGTAAGAAATTCTGGTTTGGAAGAGGTCGAGAACCCCGGCACTGAAGGATTTAATTATGGACGGTCTTACATAAATATTTTATTCCACTTTTGAAAGTTAAATCTCAGGTGTTATATATTCATGTTTCTAATTTTCTTACTTGCCTTTTTCCACATTCCTTAAAGAGATTAAATAAGTAATATGCTATATTATAATGTGAATAATGTCATTGAAATATAAAGTACAAAATTTCGTAACCTAAGAAAGATATGACATAAACTGAAGATCAAAAATTCACAGAAAATCTAAAAAAATTTTAGCCAGCATTTTTTTTTGAACTGCATGGTTCATGTCATGGTAGTTGTATTTCATCATATCCAGAACAGCTTCCATGCAGTTGCTAGGTGGGTAAAGGACCCGGAGCCTGAACGTGGCTGCTAGTTTAGAACCGAGATTAAGATATTGTGGAATGACTAGAGCAAGGGTCTAGCCAGTAGTCTTAGAATACATGGAGCTTTCTCTCCACGTCCCCAATTTGCCTTCTTGTGGTAGTGCGTACCTGAATTTAAAAAGGATTAAATTACTGCTACAGACTGGTGGAGTTGGGTAATGGTGTCATAATTCAGTGGGGGGTCACTACTTGCAGTTTATGGACCACATGTGGCCCTCACAGCTATTTTTTGTGCCCCATCACATGATTTGGGAATTAGCCAATGTGTGAAGGGCAAACCTATGCTGCTAAGGATAATATTTTCTAAGCTTAAGGGCAAACAATCACAAAAGAATGTTTTCACGAAACACAGTTTTGTAGATGTAGACCTGTAATATTAAAAATTGTATTATTCCACAAAGGTACCTTGTTCAAATGTTGTGATCATATGAAATTTAACAAAACAATATTAAAATTACTGTGGTACTAATAACTGAACGATAACTGAAGTCTTATAAAATTAGCAGTGACTTGAAATCAACACTGAAACCTGACAGCTATCATCTTTATGATAGACTGCGTTGTATTAAGAAATACGGCTGTTATGTGTTTTCAAGTAAATACCAGCTTTTCTATTTTAAGTTAAAGAAATATAATTTAGCTTACTGTACATGACATTATTAATTTTTTTTTTCTGTCGCCTTGAATAGCTAGTGTGGCCGTGGAAATGAAAATGTTGCAGACCCCTGGTCTGCGATGTTGGAAGACACAAACAGTTTTTTTCAGAATGTTTAAATAAGTCACCCAAATAAGCACTGTAGTGAAATGTCTTACATTGACAGTTCAACGGCGCGACACAAAAGTCATCCACGATACATAACCTGCATTCAGCTGATACAAATATATTTGTGTATGACAGTAGCAGTATTTTATTTCCTTATGCATCGATCTTTACTGACACTGTTTTTAAATGTTTGTGTATCAGACACTGTGGACCGTGTGTGGTAAACGTAAGTTACCAAGTGGTTCTAACATTTCTGCCCCGTAGTAGAGCAGTAGGATTCTCAGTATCTAGATAACAGAGCAGTATAAAAGTACACCAAAACAATCAAGCGCACAGTATTGCAGAGATGAACGGATGCCGTCGTAACTGGGTTCAGAGCACTCGTCACATTTACATAGCCGCAGTATTTGGCTGGTGCTACCTGCTTCTGTAGTCACCTGACACTGGACCCTGCAGTTAGAACGTGGCCGGTAAATTCATGGGTTATTTATGTGTAGGATCAAGTGAGATGGGAAAATGATCGTGAATGGTGAACTGTCTATTAGAGTACTGTTGCACCAGGAAAGATGAAGGAAAGCAAAGTAAAGCCACAGACAGAAAGGCTAGTGAGATGGCCAAGATTAGAGGCGAGAGTATTACCGCTAAACTAACCTGTTTGCTATAATAATTAATTGACGAATTTATTGATATTTGGCAGAAAACACTTTTTCAGCCCCATCCCAGTCCTGTATATCTCAGATGACAGAGATGCTCATAACACCACATTTGTACTTATGATGAATTTACATCTTTTTCCTTGCACGTTCTTTTGTTCTGGGCCAAAAATTAAGTTCTATTTCCTTTTAGATGAAGATCAGTCAGGTTGGAGACTGATGGATCAGCAGCTTCCTTTTATTTTTTATTTGTAGTGTTCTGTCTGACGACAGGTCCATATGAACAGGATCCTTCCATCCTTTTCTCGGACTGGGACCTGTTCATATACGTTCTTGGCAGATGATCCAGAAGTGGTTTGCCATTGCCTTCTTCTGTGTGTGAATGGGATGCCACGGAGAAACCGGGGAAGCCCCCGGAGGAAAACTCCGTGTTGCCTAGACCACGGCCTTGCCCAACACAAGTTATAAATTCGGGCACCGCCGGGAATCGAATCCGAGACCCCAGGATTACAAGGCCAGCGTTCTAACCGCTAGACCACCGTGGCACCAGCTTCCTTTATAGTCAGTTAAAATGTATTTGCATTTGAAGAAAATTAAATTACAATATTTATTCAAATATGATGCAAATACTGCAGATACCTCCTAGAAATGTGACCATACATTAAATTTGTGAGCTTAAATTTAATTGCAAGATTTCCAAGAAAAATTTATGTACCTCTATTAATAACTATAGCGTATAGTATTTAGAAATTATTCAGTTCATTATCATCATTATTGGCTCCTGTAGTTGTTGATTTAGCACATTAAAGTAAAGAATTCAATCAAACTTTCTCAAGATACCCCTCAGTTAGTTTACTGATTTGTAGTTAAATTCTGAAATCTTCATACATGAATTTTGTAAGCTAGACTCACTTATCAAGTCATGATTTGTTCATAAATAAATCTTTACACATGTATATATGTTTCATGAACTATGTAATTGAACTATTCTAAATTAAAAATTAATGAGAACAATATCAGATGATAATATAGTGATAATGAGTTATGGGTACATATATGAATATCAAGGCATAGCTCTAAATGTTCTTAAATATTCTGTTTCCTTCAAGAAGATGACATGCAGATACTTAGCTAGGAATTGTTTGGTTAAATTAAAAACTTCCTTTGTCCTATTTTTCCCCCTCTCTCCTAGGATACTTGTAGGAAAGTTAAAAATGGTCCTGCTATTACCACATGGCACAACTAGCTTCCATGCTGATTTATAAATTATACAAACTGTGGGGAAATAATTCTTGCCAGATAAAAACAATTACTGTAAAATATCAGCACCTGTATTTGGAAACAATTCCTTATTACTCTAACATCACCTCCCTACTAGGAGTTTGCTGTTGTAAGCAATTTTTAATTACTCTAACATCACCTCCCTACTAGGAATTTGGTGTTGTAAGCAGTGTTAATTAATGCATTTCCCTTATTCACAGGTCCTGAGCACAAAATTCCTTGGCAAGCGCCCAGATCGGAAGCTCAAGTCTGTCACCATCATTCACAGTTCAACAACCGAAACTGTCCGTCTGCCACCAGAAGGGGATGGCGGTCAGGTAACCATTCACCCAGCCGTCCGGTCAAAACTTCCTTTCAAACGTAAAGTGCGTGAGAAGCATCACTTACACCGACGCAGGACAAAGATCAAAGATGCAGCCACCAACAACAATGGTAATAGCAACAATAATAATTCTACTCCAAAAAAGGCGTTAAACAGAAATAAGAAAGTAAAAAAGACGACAGCGGCAACAGCTGTCAGTGGGGATGAAGTGAAGAACAGTGGGGTGGTGGCTGAGGAAGTGGCGCTTCAGAGGAAATTAAAGAAGGCACAGCAACAGGCAAAAGGAAAGAAGAAAAAGAAGAAGGAAGTGATAGACTACAGTGCAATGCAGAGTGATAAAAAGAAGTTAGGTGTGGTGTTGGGCTTGTCTGACAAGGGTTCTGCCCCTGTTGGAAAGGTCCAAAAGTTGTTGTTGAACTCCCAGCTACCTGTTGACTCAAAATTACTTCCTAAATCAAAGTCGGCTCCGATCGGTCTGACGGGAGCTGCCAGGAGTCCAGTGAGGACTCGAGCTCCTGCCGTGTTGCGTCACAGCAGAAGTGAAAAGCCCAAGTCGCGAAGCACTGGGAACCTGAAAGGTGTTAATAAAAACTGTATTGAGAAGGAGAAGTTAAGACTACAAGTTGTCTACAGGCCACCATTCAAGTTTAGTCTCAAGTTACACAAGGCTGAGAAAGGTTCTGGAGCATCAGCAACTGTTGTTGTGGACAAGAGCCACCGAAGGTCTGTTCCAGGGGATCTCAAGCGAGGCGGAGGAGGAGGTGTTAGCGGCGGAGCTCGGGCTGCCATGCTCCTGAGGTCGAGAGACCGCAGGAGGATGGCAGACAATCGGAAGCCCGAAGTTAAGGAGGCGGTGACTGCCGCGACGGCACCAGCATCTCCAGCCGTGTCTGCAGCACCGATGCTACAGCCATCCCTACCGACTCCAACCGTAAACCAAAACAAGGAACGAGACGAAGATATAGACTCTAATATCCACACTGTGCCATCAGACCTAGAGGTGCTGCTGTCAGAGAGTGAGTTCCTCTTCTCTGATGCATGACAACGGACATCAATTTTTCCATTCCATTTCCTTCCAGAACTGTCGGTGTCCATGACTCTGAAGTACGCTTTTATACACAAGTACTTAATCTCATACATGATACTGAGACTTTGTCACCATCATTCACAGTTCAACAACCGAAACTGTCCGTCTGCCACCAGAAGGGGATGGCGGTCAGGTAACCATTCACCCAGCCGTCCGGTCAAAACTTCCTTTCAAACGTAAAGTGCGTGAGAAGCATCACTTACACCGACGCAGGACAAAGATCAAAGATGCAGCCACCAACAACAATGGTAATAGCAACAATAATAATTCTACTCCAAAAAAGGCGTTAAACAGAAATAAGAAAGTAAAAAAGACGACAGCGGCAACAGCTGTCAGTGGGGATGAAGTGAAGAACAGTGGGGTGGTGGCTGAGGAAGTGGCGCTTCAGAGGAAATTAAAGAAGGCGCAGCAACAGGCAAAAGGAAAGAAGAAAAAGAAGAAGGAAGTGATAGACTACAGTGCAATGCAGAGTGATAAAAAGAAGTTAGGTGTGGTGTTGGGCTTGTCTGACAAGGGTTCTGCCCCTGTTGGAAAGGTCCAAAAGTTGTTGTTGAACTCCCAGCTACCTGTTGACTCAAAATTACTTCCTAAATCAAAGTCGGCTCCGATCGGTCTGACGGGAGCTGCCAGGAGTCCAGTGAGGACTCGAGCTCCTGCCGTGTTGCGTCACAGCAGAAGTGAAAAGCCCAAGTCGCGAAGCACTGGGAACCTGAAAGGTGTTAATAAAAACTGTATTGAGAAGGAGAAGTTAAGACTACAAGTTGTCTACAGGCCACCATTCAAGTTTAGTCTCAAGTTACACAAGGCTGAGAAAGGTTCTGGAGCATCAGCAACTGTTGTTGTGGACAAGAGCCACCGAAGGTCTGTTCCAGGGGATCTCAAGCGAGGCGGAGGAGGAGGTGTTAGCGGCGGAGCTCGGGCTGCCATGCTCCTGAGGTCGAGAGACCGCAGGAGGATGGCAGACAATCGGAAGCCCGAAGTTAAGGAGGCGGTGACTGCCGCGACGGCACCAGCATCTCCAGCCGTGTCTGCAGCACCGATGCTACAGCCATCCCTACCGACTCCAACCGTAAACCAAAACAAGGAACGAGACGAAGATATAGACTCTAATATCCACACTGTGCCATCAGACCTAGAGGTGCTGCTGTCAGAGAGTGAGTTCCTCTTCTCTGATGCATGACAACGGACATCAATTTTTCCATTCCATTTCCTTCCAGAACTGTCGGTGTCCATGACTCTGAAGTACGCTTTTATACACAAGTACTTAATCTCATACATGATACTGAGACTTACTTACATTTGAGATTTTTTTTTTTTTAATGTGCCAAATAGTTGCAAGTTGTGAAACCAAAGTAAGGTGAAATATGTGATAACAGGAGAAGGTGGTTTCCATTAGCATTTTCTCCATTCAAAGTTTTTGCCGAGTTAAACTCTGAGTCACTCCACTCTTGTGACAGACTTCTGAAATGTCTTAACCTTACCTTGAATCTTAAAGCCAGGATTTGGTCCTTTACGTGAAAAAATAGAAGGCATTTTGTATTTAACCGAGATCTTTGCTAAAGACGATGAACAAATCAGCAGATTAGACTGTGGACCGAACATCCCACTGCACTGTGCGTCTTCATTACCACAGTACAAATCAGACCTATGTGTGTGGGCCGTGGTGGCAGCCTCATCAAACCTCTTACAGTCAGATGCTTTATAAAAATTGTAATACATTGGCCAAGGATGAATTTTCCATGTAAAACTGTTTGTGTACCATGATGGCACCAAGCCCTTAACATCATAAGTAGTCAAAGAAATATGCGCGACTCATTTGGAACTAAATGGGTCCTTCCTACATTGCTAGTAAATAATTTTTGTAGGTTTGTGTTTAGGCAGCCACTCTGACTGTTGTTGTCTGCCTGACATTTAAAACAGGCCGCTGTCCTTCAGTACGGGGACCACACTGCCCTCCCAGTCGTAGCATTCGCCACGCGTGATACACACAGTCAACATACTTTAAACTTCCTTCTCACCTGAGGTGATAGGTTTGTTCTTATGTGAAGAATGGATGTGCTTCGTACAAGACGAGCATCAACCTTTATGAGCCCCCTTAATTTTATCGAATTAACTTAGTAAAACTAACACTGTTTATAATCTCATTCATAAATCATACTCATAATATCTTTGTTCTTATTAATGTGTAATCAGTCGATATAGCATCAACACATTAAATAATCCTTGATTTGAAGCTTTTGCTGTGACTAGACTCAATAAAATCTTGTTTCTATAAATGACTAATTCACTTTTATGTTTGTAGCAATTCCTTTAACATTATTTGCTAAATTAAATGTATTTCTTCGATTCTTGCCATGGGTGTTATTACCTCTGAAACAGATTCCTTGAAAAGGGTGGGCAGAGGCCACAGCTGACAACATTCACCACAAGGATTTTTTTTTTAGCAGCTATAGAACGGGTATTTTAGATATAACACGTAGAGTGATAACATTCCTGGCCATCAGTATTACTTATTTAAAGTGGAACAAGTTCCAAAATTCTTGCAAATGAAGCCATGATTTGGTTATGAAGCTGACTGCCAGGGTCTGATTATATTCGCCTCTTTGCAAGACATTGCGACGACATGGGCAGTAAGAAAGGTGTTGTGAAATTACATCGAGATGTCTGGCAAATGGAGGAAATGACAGTTTTACAAATGTACATTCCATATAATAGGTGTTACTGTTTATGTGTATAATGCAATGATTGACTTCACAAATGGATGTGTTATCTCCTCCATCTTGCCCGTTTGTATAGCAGTGTCAGATTATAACAAATGTATTCTTATCACCAGAATAGTCAAGACTCCCAAGACTTTATTTTAAACCAAGTTCAGAAAATATTTTTCTGAGCGATCGCTTCTCTGTGTAACTGAAGTTGGTAATTTGTACATATATTACAATCATGAAGTGATCAAGTGATTTCAAGGTTAAGCAAATTATGTGTTTCCTGAGTGTATGTGCGTAACACATGAAGTGAATGTCACAGCTGAGTGGTTAACACTCCTACTCTGCATTTCAGGAGGTCCCAAATTCAGATCTTTGTCCAGTAACCAGCTATCCTGATTGTTTTTTCATGGTTTTCCTCAGTACCTCAGACTTTGTAGGGTCTTCTTGTCCCACGGAAATATTTAGGCATTTTAATTTAAACTTCAGATTTAGTACGAAAATACGTAATAAGACATTACACTTTTTCCAGCAATTTATTCCAGACCATAATTAAGTAAAGGTAAAATTCGCGGCTTGTTCCCCAGCCTTTGGTGTTGGTTGTCTGCCTGTAACATTATATAAAAGCAGCCTGGCAGAGCATTCCTTAACACCACAGTCTGGTTTGAAGAACAGGTGTCAATGTTCAGTGTTTTAACAAACTGACACAGCAGATGTAATATATTTTACAAAGTTATCTGTAATGTTTTAAATGTTGACTATTCTGGTTACTAAGAAATTAACAGATATAATATAAATATAAAACGTGTGTGTTGGATGTAATAGAGTCCTTAGCACAGACAAGATGTGCATTAGAGGTGAGCAGTACACCGGTAATGGTTCTTAATCACTTTTATTTGAAATGCTGGTGGCGACTGAAGTTGCTTATATTCCCCGCCTACCGAGACCCATTCCTGCACTGTATCCACAGAAGATACCTGTGTGGGCAGTAACCAGTTAGAACCAGAGTGTTGAATCACTGGTATGAAGACTAGTGACTGAAATCACTGTTTACATTTCAGTATCTCCCTGTAACGGGCAGCGAAGTAGCGGGTAACCAGTTAGGCACTGGAATGATTTGAATCACTGGCTGGTGATGTCGTAACTAACAAGACGGTGAACAATGAAATGGAAGTCATTCTCACCCTCCTCAGTTCTCATTTCTTTTGCTGGTACTTAAATACGAACTGAACGCTACCTTATTTTTCTGTGTTTCAATTTTTATTATTCCAAAGAATTTAGGACATTGCAAATGGTATTCCTACCATTTTTTATGACTTTAAATTCAAAACACATTTCTCATACATCTAGTTCTAATGGAGTATGCGTTGTGAAGAAAGTTATGACCTTGGTTAGAAGTTTATATAGTATCATTAAATGATAAATTGACCGATTTTTCATCGTATGCAACAAGCTGCAAATTTACACTGTGAATACTCAAGTGCCCGTCTTCTGTACCACTGTTTCAGCTTCCAGAACCTCATGTCTGTCCATTGTTTTACCAGCTTATTTGTCTGTCGAGCAAACTGGTAACCTAACCGTACCAGTGAACACGGTTACTGCTTAAAATCACCATTCCTCACAAATAATGTTTTAATGGTGGTTCAAAATTAACTAGATTGCTCACCTCTAGTGTATGCGAGTGTGTTGAAGCCGTGGACTGGCCAGCACTTTCTTCATGCCCACATGACGTGTCGTCGTGCAGCTTGCTTTGGTCTAGTAACTGCAGCGTGCTCTGTCGTAACTCCTGCCAAAACCAATTGAGCCTTCCTACATACTCCGGTGCAGAACTCTTTTATGCTCCAACTTTTTTTCTAACTTATTTTGCTAGAGGAATCAATTTTTCTGCAAAGCCTGTGTAGCTCTTCTATTACATGGTTGTGCATTGTTTTGAGTTGTTTTTGTATTTGACATGATGTTGGGATGAATAAACAAAGAGGGAGATAATTGTTCAGTAATGTAATTTTTGTGCCGCAGTGGTCTATGATGCATTAGAGGCACGCGAAACAATTGCCAATGCCGTGTGACCTCAGCATTCACAGATACACTTACTTACTCTTACAGTCATTACGAATAATATTACTAACTAGTGTGTCAGTTATTGATCTTTATTCTTTTTGTTTGGGAGGTGTACAGTTGAAACTCTGGTTTTTATGGTATCAGCCCTAACGTTCTTCAAAATATTTCACAGGACTTATATAACAATAAATAGGTGGAAGAAACTGATTTCCTGTGCCAAAGGTGTTGAATTAGAATCCTGCCAAATATAGATCCGGTTAATTTTGCTTTTCAATCTTAACCTCAATTTGACAGTAGTGAATACATGTCTATCTTGATTCAGAGGCCACTTTCATCTGGTCATCAGTTTTGCCATCTTCCTAATCATTTCACATAATATAATCTGTTATGCAGTTGCTCCACCTGAGGAAATGCTCTCTTCATCTGATGGCAGTAACAGAACTTCAGTGAATAAGACAGATACTTAATTTTAACATCTGCAGTCTTACACTGCATGAATGTTACTGCTTTATTTAAAATGATTTTGCAGTCCATTTCTTACATGTGAAAATTATTTTTAACATTTTACTTTTATTACAACATTGTATAGTATGTTTTATAACAATGAAATTACTGAAATTGTTGTAAGTCAATCACCTTATGAAAATTATACACATTGTACACTTTGTTGTACTTCCACTTACTTGTTGTGTATCTCCTTAGAAATATGAAATTTTTCAATGGTACTGATTTACAGTATCCATTTTATCTGAGCTTTTAAATGTATCAAAAAATATTACAGATGATGTAACATAAAAAAATATATTTTCTTTATTTTGGAAGCATGAGAAATTAAACACAATTTTAATCTTTAGTACAATACAAAAAAAGTTTCTGCAAAATGGAGTATTTGGTTTCAGATGTTGTTAAAAGTATAATGGAACTTGTACAAATACTTCTGCCGTCCGTACAATGTAACTTCTTTGCAGCGCCTGCTGTTAACAGACGGTACTGACAATCTATAAATATGAAACTGTGGCTTTCTCAATGTTAGTCTTAACACAAACTCCTCTCGCAAAACTGTGTCTCTGAGAAGTATTGTTACTTTTATTAAGGTTCTGAAGGACTTCAAAAATACTTCTTCATCAGCTTTGTACATAACCTTAAATGTCTTACTATTCCCTGAATCAATATTGACCATATGTATTATGGATTTATGCAATTTTGGAGAGTTTGAGACTCCTACAGTTGACTGAATTACATTATGTACGAATAAATGTTAAACAGATGAGAACCAATTATCCAGCAACTGCAGAGGCATCTTCCTTAAAGGCTGCTCAATCTGCAACATCATGTAGCTGATTATGTAGCACTCCAGTAAGGTTATGTTTATAAGAAAGAAAAGATTACCATAAGAATGATGGAATTGTCTTGATATTGTGATCCCATTGTGTTATTTTCTTCACAAGTACAGGTAACTTCGGAGCCATCAACACAACTTATAATATATTAAAAAATATTACTTTATTTTAATATTCATGATATTTTGACTGTGTCAGAATGACAGAATGAACTTTATTTCAGTTTTGAGATTTTATGATTTTACAGTGATGAAAACATGTATTGTGATCTTCTGGGTTGTGATGCCAAATATTCTAGGACTGATTTACAGTTTCACAGGAGCACATAACTCCATGTTTAGTGTACAACAACACGCCTGAATAAATGTTACAGTGAGCACAACTTGTAATTGTTGATTGAATTAATCTTGGCTGATTTGGTGGTGACCACCTTCTGGCCCCATTACATATTTTATTACATTCCATGGATTCATAAGATAAGTCAGATGACAATAGGATGTGGAAAGTCATAATAATACAATACATATTATAAAGTACAGTTCATACTATTATATAAATGTGTACCGACATGGATTTTGCCATCCACCGTGGGCCCTAAAGGGATCTGGGTGCCGAGGAACCTTCCCTGGGTTAAATCGATGGCTTGACCTTCGTTTCGCGAATGTTTGCACTGAATGGCATGGTGCTAGAAGCGGCCAACCTTGTCGTAGGAGATACAGAAGTACCTGTTCTTTTTATGTAACATACGTAAGTCATATGTCAATTACATGTATGACTCCAACAGTTAAATACGTATCAACATATTAATGCCACTGCATCCTGCTTATTTGTTAGCTCTCGAATATTCCGCAAGGTTTAAGGTAATTTTCGTTTTATCTGTGATTGGGGTTGCAGAGAATGGACTTTACAAGCGTTTGAAAGAGAGACTGCGGAGGAAGTGGTCGGTTGGTCAGGAAGTGAATGGCGGAGTCGAATGAGGTACGAGTTATTTAATGAATATAGTCTTTTTGCAACATAGAACACTCAGTTGAAACCTAGTTATTTTACTTTTTAAATTACTTCGATTTTGTTTTCAGATCGAAATTATAACTGGCATTTCGGTAGTATTTCACACACTGTTTCGGAGCTGTACGTAAAATAAATGCATAAAAGAACGCGCAGTGATATTTATTTCGGAAAATCACTCAGCAGTCATGTAGTTTACGATCGTATATTCCGATGTGCATGTTATAAGTAGGAGTGTTAACAAATTTATCGCAGTTGCATCATAAATTTGCTTTACTTAGCGCAGATAGGGAAATCTACAATAATCGGGAGATGTGGAACTTGAACAGGGGCACGAGTTGTACGATTTTTTTTTCAAGATACCATGATGATAATTACGTAAGTTCTTTGTGTAAGAAAACTGCCCAGAATTCTTTTTTAATTTCTGTACTGCAACACAATACAAATGGGACTCTTAGTTAATGGACTTTTAAACTAGACAGTCCTAATCCACCCAATGTATAAGTGACTGGCAGATTAACAAGTCCAATTCAGGCTCACGTCTTGATGGCGTCCTATTTTCATGTATGAGGCTGTAATGGAACACATTGTAACCGATGGGATTCAAATGACGTGACGCAGAAACGGCATGAGAATGAAGTGCATGGATGTAAGTCATAAATTCAGTGATATACTTTATTTAAACATGTGTCGAAGTTCAGTATATTCGTCTGTTAAAAATCAGATAATTTACTCTGCTCTCAACATAGTTTGACATTTAATGGTTAAATTACAGTATTATGTTTGTAGTCATTTCATCTGTGCTGATCACAAGCTTCTGCCTGTCACAGAAAGCTGTGCTGAGCACTTCTTCAATCTGTGTATACTGAATTTCGATCGTGAATGATGAGTGTACCACATTGAGTGAATTATATTTGGAAACCAATAAAAAGTTCATCCTGCTTCATGCATATAATTCTTGTTTTGTGCAGCCGTAATTGTCTTGCCACACACTGCAGTGCAAGTAAAATCCTTAAATCATATTTCACATTTTAATCAAACATAACCCACAACTGAATGTGGTATCCTATAAATGTGTATTTTAACACTTATTGTTAGGAATGTTTATGAAATATAAATGCAGTAAATTTCATAGTATGCTGAAGTTCATTTTGTGCCGTTAAGATAGTAAGAGGGACTTGTGGCCTGATGATCAGTAGGGACCACAAAACAGGAAGATTCAGAACAGCTTTTTGTTTCTAGTTGTGTTGCAGGTGTTTAAACACCAAAGAACGTGGCGTTCCCAGCAGTCTGAGCGGACATGGATGAATCATCTTCACTTCTCATTAGCAGTGATGAATATTTTCTCCAACTGTTGCCAACAACGCTGGATGAGACAAGTCTGCATGAACAGTAGGAAAGCAACAGTAATTACATATTACCACAGAACCACAACTACGTGCCCACCGTACCAGTCATGGATGGAACAGAATGTGTAGCAGTCTACCTCCAGAGTATTGTTGCTTTTTCCCTAGAATACTTCAGAGGTTCCTCTTTCGCCCTAGTATCTTAATTTACAAATTGGGGATAAATATTTTTAAAATTCATTATATTTGAAAGATACAACTGTATGTGTGTCATCCAGTTGATAATTTCTAAGACCTAAACACAATCCATACTTTAAAATTATATATAAATTAAATCACATTTTACAATTATCATTTTGCTATAAAACAAAGCATTTGATATGGTCACAAATTGTTGCCTAGTTTTTGTTCAGAACAGGCTTGTAGCTCTGCCTACATTCTGCCTTCATCAGAGTGGGATTTGGGAGTCTTTACCAGAACTTAAACGGTCCAGCCAAGTCCCCTGTTAGACTGCGTCTCTGGTGGTAAGACTCTCCACTCCCTCGTAGCAACTTCCTGCACTTTGTTGCCGAGTTTCCTAATTCCAGTGGCCATTTTTCGTTCTGGGCGGAACGCAGCTGGTACTGGTAGCACAAATGTTGGGCTGTGGCTTGCAGGATGTAACTGTTCCCCATTTTGATATGGTTGTAAGGTAGTTATTTAGAGGTCTGTCTCAGTATAGCGATTACATTTTATTGCCGTCTTGTGCCGCGTGCCACAATTTTGGCTGCCGCTGAACTTAAACTCTGAAGATTATCAGCAGTTTGCAGGTGTTTCTCCGCCATAAAAATGCTGTTATTCATAGGAATAGACTGCGCTTAGCTATTTATCCAGTGATGTTGTGCATAAACTGCGTTGATTTACTTTTTTCATTTGTGGGTTCTGTTGTCACAAAGCGAGTTTCTCCTCAGGAACCTGCATTAAAAGAAAATAGATGTATCGGATTACCTTCTGATATTTTTATAGCACCATTGCTCCTTTCTTTATTTCGTGAGCTACTTCATCCATTTTCCCTGGGCGAAGCATTCTTCTTACATTCCAAGTTGCAATACTTAAGTCACATTTTTGCCTTTGATTCCTTTTCCAATTTGTCGTGATTGAGAGGAACCATCCGCCATTGGGGTGACCTACTGAATCCAAAGATGCGTTAACGCAGTGGTTTGAACCTTCCTGGTGTCTGCATGAAGTCTGTATTCGGTGTGAATGGGATAACTAATTAACTACTGCAAGCTGGAAACCAACATGAAAGTCTGTGTGAGGATATGCTTCGAGCATGATCTCGGCTAAAGAGTTCTTCCTCCCTGTGCCCTACTGAATCCAAAGATGCGTTACGCAGTGCTTTGAACCTTCCTGGTGTCTGCATGAAGTCTGTATTCGGTGTGAATGGGATAACTAATGAACTACTGCAAGCTGGAAACTAACATGAAAGTCTGTGTGAGGATATGCTTCGAGAATGATATTATTATCATCCCATCTATTCACCACTTTATGGGGCATGTACTTCCATGTACCCGAGACAGACCTTGTCCCTCTCGGAACCCCAAAATTCCCAAGAAGTCGGGTCTCGACCATGGTGATAGCAGTTTTAGTAGTAATTTCCCGGACCAGATACATGTTGACAAATTTAGAAAATCCGTCAATCACTACTAAGATAGTTCGATAGCCTGATTTTGACCACACAATAGGCACAAAACAGTCTATGTCTATGTGCTGGTTACACGAAGTGTCCCCGGCAGCGATGCCTTGGTGTAAACCAACACAATAGGGGTCCTTACTTTGATGGTCCTTTAAGGTCTCGAATGAGGCAGGGAGGGGTTGTAGAACCCGCACGGCAGGTTGTGCTGTCGGCGAATCCGGAGGCTCAGACATCCTTGATAGGCAATCGGCCACGACGTTCTCGCTTTCCCGGATATGGACCACCTTAAATTTGAACGGCGATAGGCGTAATAGCCATCTCCCTATGCGCCCTAGTTGGCCTCATTGTCTGAATGCACAACAATTTCCTTATGTTCTAAGTATGTCCGGAACCTTTCGCATCCTAGTACGACGGCAAGACATTCTTTCTTATAGGTCGAGTAATTTCTTTCCGCGGGAGAGAAGGGGCGACTAAGAAGGCGATGGGTGCTAGCTTCCCACCTACCTCTTGATTCAGAACACTCGATACCCCGATGTCAGACCCATCGCATTGCAACACGAATGGAAGATGAAAATTAGGAATTTGCAGTGTTGGGGCTTGACAAAGGGCCTCCTTAATGACTTCATAAGCACGTTGTTGGTTCATGTCCGAAACAAACTTAGCGTTTTCTCGCTTCAGGGCATTTAACGGTTCAGAAAGCCGAGAGAAATCAGGGATGAAACAACTGTAGAATGCCTCCATCCCTAGAAAACGTCGAACTTGTTTCAAGTTTCTCGGTAGCGGAAACCCTTTTATCATGCTTACCCTTTCGGGGTTAACGCGCACGCCTGTAGCCGACAATAAATGGCCGAGGAAGCTGATCTCCTGAACCCCTAACGTGACCTTGGCTGGGTTTAGAGTGAAACCGGCATTTTGTAGTCTAGAAAAGACCTCCCTTAGGTGCCTGATGTGTTCGGCCCAAGTGCTGGAATAAACCAACACATCGTCGAGATAATTAAACAGAAATTTAAATTTGATGTCTCCAAAGATTCGATCCACCTCACGGCTTAAAATCTGCCCGCCTACACAAATCCCCATGGGCAATTTAACAAACTCATACAAGCCAAACGGGGTGATAAAAGCGGTATATTTCCAACTCTTCTGATCGAGAGGTATCTGATAATAGGCACTATTCATGTCTAAAACACTAAAATACTTAGCTCCGGAGAAATGTTGAAATGCACTTTCAATAGTGGGCAATGGAAAGGAGTTGTATATCACTTTCTGATTCAACTTCCTATAATCGACCACCAAACGAAATTTTTCCTCTTTTTTGGCGACCAGGAAGGCCGGACTCGCGTAATTAGAAGTGCTCTGTCTAATGACACCATTATTCAGCAAGTCGTTAACATGCTGCCGGAGGGCGATCAGTCTAGGCGGTGAACACTGATACGGTGGCGATCTTACAGGCACATTGTCAGATAGTTTGATGCCACAAGTGCGTCCCCTCACCGTGCCCGGTCTATCAGAAAACAGCACGGGAAACTCTTTAATGAAAGTGGAAATTCTACAAGCCGACCTCTCGCCTACAGGCATAGTTGCCTGTAGAATTAGAGAGAAATTCTTACTTCCGCTGAGGTCTGAACTGGAAGTGGTATATCCCCAGAGAAGGATTCAGACAAAATCTGCTCCCAGAATTACTCCCACTGGTAAGCGTCTCGCGACAAGAAAGTCGAAGTCCCACGAGTAGTCGTGGATTTTAAAATGCAGTTTGATTCTCCAGGAGATTCGAATCTCTTGTGAAGCAGTCGTAACCAAACTGACGCCAGACGGCATTTCCGTAAATCCTCAACAAAATCCATAGCGACCAGAGAAAAGACAGATCCCATATCTACCAAAGATGGTTGGTAGAGACTTTTACAAGAGACAGTAACCCATGGGCACAACGATCGAAATGGTCTAGCCCTAAATCTCGTGATCGGGAAGGAAAATATTTGCGCCCGGCCACTCCTACCTACGGGTAGGCGGCCATGACCACGAGTCCCCCCCCTTACACTCTGTTTTTCAAGAAGAAGTCTGGCTGCGTGAATCACATCTGTGGTATTATATCCTTTGACAAATCCCCCACTGATTGGCCGTGATGGCTAGTAGTTCTCTGAGTCTGCTATCAATCGCTGTCGTTCGAGTGTCTTCAGCGCATGACTCCTTTTCCATGGACTCGGGATTTTTCTCGATGCGATTATTTGGTCGAGGAATTTGAGCATGATTATGCCAATAAATTCTGCATGCAGTGAAAAGTTGCTACAAGGTGACATTGCGAATTATTTGTGCTATTGTTTCCACACAGTCTGTAGTTATTTGTAAGTTCTTCTCCTCTTCTACTACCAGTGATAATTATCAAAATAATTATAATTTGAGTGAATTGGTGATTACTGTAATGTAAATACACTCTTGTGCCCATATATATTATGCATAAATTGATGCACTGATGTGGGTAATACTTGGGCAGTGCTTGACATGATACGTCACATATTTTACATCAACTATGAACTCTCGTAATGCAAATATGCGAAGAATGGATTTATCTCGGTATGGATTGTGGCTTAGCAGTCTTGTTACTTGGAATCCTGATCCGAACACGGATATTATACCTTCTGTCTTTTCTAGTTTGTCTTGTGTTTACATTTTCTATTCTGCTAAATTTGTTACTAAGCCTGTGGCTTAATGTTTTAAATATTACTTACCCGTCTTAGGAAGGATGTCCTAAACAAATCTCACGCTGCTTCCGGAGATGATGGCTGGCTGGGTGCAACACAATAATTCCTTTTTTTGGATTTGCGATTGAAATTTACTGCGTCAAATTTCAACTTTTCTCTCTTATAAAGTATGTATACAAACAAAAACTGTTTACACTATGAAGGATACTAATGTCAAACGCGTTATCACCAACATCAAATTCACGGTCCCCTGCTCGGTTTACTTTTTTTTTCAGCCTTCCCAATTATCTTTAATTTTTCACTGAAAATCACAACGTAAAACTGATTTTCACCTGTGAATAAACTGAGATAAACTGCACCCTCACTAGTAGCGTCTGACGCGTGCTTGTTCGAAAGATAACAAAGGAGTGGGCTACTGCCCTCTGGGATGCGCGCCGGAGTGCAAAATATGACAAATGAGTAGCGCACTGCACTTTTTGGCATGAATTTTTTCTGAAAAATGTCCGCGGAGTATTCGAGAAAATACGGTAATTAAACCTGAATAAGCTTTCAAAATTTTACTTGGATCTTCATCATAAAGTTATGAGCTTTTTGATTGAGGGAATTTATGATAATTTTTATCTCAGTTTCAGTGCTTGGAATAATTTTAATAGCAGGAACTTCTTCATTGTTTATAAAAGGTGGTATCTGTTCAGCCAAATGTATTTTTCCTGTCTCCCGTTTTATTATCTTACATGAGTTTGCTATAAGTCTACTGTAATGCTGCTTTTTAACCTCATTTATTCAGGATTTTACAATACTTAATATAAAATGCTTGCATTTGGATCATTACTGTTCCTACTCTACTTACAGACTTCATTCCATTTGTAAGATATTTTTATTCCTTGTTGATATGTACACAGGCCCACAGCCTGCTTCGGTATTCAAACGGTACCATGTTCAAATACTGGCAGTAATACCAGCTACTTTGACGTGAGTTTCATATGAATTTTTTCTGTTCCCCTATAGCAACTTTAACATAGGCCTGTGCTTAATTAAACACTACATGATGATGGCACAGGGTGTGTGGAGGTATAACTCCACACATTCTGAGCCTTGGCACTAGACAGAGATGAGTGTCCAGCTTCATGCTCCATCTTCTATGTATCGGGTAAAGGAACCCTTAGGGCCCATTGGATAGGAGGCTGGGTGGGCCCCATAGCCAGTCCAAACAGTGGCAAAGAGAAAAATCCCTAACCCTACAAGGAACCGAAACCCAGCTGTCCACCGACAGCTAGTCGCTGTACTAATTGAGCAGCTGACAAGGCAGCATTAAATAAAGCAAGGCTTCATTACAGATGTTATTAAAATGTAAAGACATGTAAGGCAGAACATAGCCCTTAAAAATTCACGTGAAGATAAAACATAGTAAAGGTTTTGTCAATCACAGATCATTCTCAGCTATGCCATATTAAGAAGGTGCCATCTTTCAGTATACATGTAAACCTCGATTTGCGCCGATTCAGAATAACGCCGCTTTTGAAACCAGCAAGTCAAAAAGTGGAGAGAAAAAAATTACTATTATTTATAATGTTTTACAATGTTTCTCGTACTAAATCGTAATTCTTACATCGCTGATTTTGAATAAAAATTACAAATACAGTCGCCTCTGCACTCATTGCTAAGTAGTTGCGAGATATTCTCCTAAAAATCCGCTAACTTTGCGCAACAGTCACGCGAGCATTGGTCACTCTTCACGGTGAATCATTTGCGTTCAGCCTGATAAGGGAGTAAGGAAAAATGCGCTCAGTTCACCTCTTGTTGACACATTGAATGTGCTGAACGTGTTTGCGTTGTTGTTCGACCACTATTCTGAGTTTCAATTTACGCTGATTCCATTTACGCCAGTTCGTCCAGGAGCGCGTCCCCGGCGTAAATCGAGGTCTACCTGTACATTATTCTGGATCATACCATACCTGTAACACATGGGGTATATGATCCCACAGTTACGCTATTACACTCTTCTAATGCTCATAGTTTCTTCACATGGCAAATCACAAACTGCTTTGTAGTTTGTCCAAACTTTTGGAAGTCCTTGAATCATATCTTAAAGCACTAATCTTGTCTGGAGATATTCAGCTTTCTTAACCAGTCATAAGTTCATTAGGAAGTTCTTCACAGTAAACCACAGCCGAAACGTGCCATCACTGTAAACTGTCTCTCGTTTACAGAAGATACTGGAAATGTGTAGGCGCACCTCTTCAGAGAACTGTCTGGTTTTGCAACACTTGCTGAAAGGAAATTACATTGCTGTATTAATCCAAGTCGTGTTTAATTTTCTGGTTACCGCTAAAGCTGATATCTCTGAATAATTGTGTCTTTATTTGGTCCTGTGTTAGGAGCCATCTCCTAATAAAATTATCAGATGTTATTTTTCAGTCAGTCCTGTTACTGTGTGCGCAGTGCTGCTGAGCAACGTGAGCTGTGAGTGCATTTCCCCCCCCCATTTCTTTTTCCGTCGCTATGCAACGAAACTGAAGCTCTGTAACTCCTTTTGGCTCCCCTCCAAAGTTTTCAATACACAAGATTTGTCCTTATATTCTAGAGCCATTTCTGCTATGTACCTGGAATTATTCAGCAACTGTTTTATTTTGTGCTGTACAAATTCTTCAGACAATTGTAGGTAAGGATCCAGCAGCCATTACTAGGGGATTGTAAATAAAGCAGACCTTGTCGAGTTCTTAAGTGAAGACTGTTCAGTCGAGCTAAACAGTAAATAAATGAAAACTTTTGTCTTTTAAAAATGTCCTCTCATTAAAATCAAATCAACCACTTATTTAGTTGAGATTTCTACACAGAGGCTGTGTTCATCTAACACCACATAATTGCAGTCTACATCTTTAATAAAGTATCTCTACTGGAGCTATTCTTTTAGTGTACGTTTTAGTTCTACTCCCCCTCCCCAATTCAAATTATAAATTCCCAATTTTGTTCTCCAGTTTTCATCCACAGCATTAGTACAGTTTATTTTCTAGTAAGCTATCTCTCTCATCAAGCATAAGCTGTTTTGTACTCATTTCTGAACATTTTAATAATATACGTCCAGCATCTTCATCCAACCATGTTAGAAGTACGCCTAAACCCTGCCTAACATTCATAACAACATTACAAACATAAACCAAAGGTTGGTGACTGAATTTTGTACATCCAATCAGTGACTCTGTGGATCATCTTGTGTGTTTTTATTAACATTATATTTTGTTGCTGTACCGAAGCCTGACAGCGCTTTATTAACATTATATTTTGTTGCTGTACTGAAGCCTGACAGCGCTCTCTCTCTATCTCGTTTCTGTCGCACTAAGAATATATCACAGGGTAACATTTCACTCTGGCATAGAAACACTTCTGTTTGCTTGTTCATCTTCAGTTACATACAGAGCACCATTTACCTTCAGACATTACTTTTGTGGTTCCCTCACGTCTCAGAGATTGGTCTCCAGGAGAACAGCCGGTTTCTCTGTACCGATGAGTTCATCAAACAAGGTCTGAGTTGGCTCCGGAGGTGACGGATCATCCAGCGTTGTCTGAGCAAACTTCAGTGTAGCAGTGACCAGCTCTCCCACTGTCCATTGTCTGTCTAGCAACACTCGACAGACTGTGTCTAGCTGCAGCGGAGATAGAGACGTCGCATTAGATTCACTCACTGATTAGTGTATTTAGGACTGCACAAAGTTTGGATCAGACCCCCAAATCTACAACTGTAGAAGGCATTAAGTGTTTGAACAGACTCTAAATAATATTAAGAAATTAATTTTGTATCTCAGAAAAAAGAGAAGCGCATTCATTGGTTGAGTGTTGTCGGAAACAAAATGCAAAGGAGAATCATGGGATCTAAGAAACGGGAAATAACAAGACGATGGAAAAATTGTGATGACATGAAAGAGGATAGAATGGGCATCGTCTCATTGAGTCTCACCTTGAGAAGCCGATGGTGGCTACAGGTATAGTAGTATAGACAAGGAACACCTGCGATGCTAGCAGCCAGCCACTGAATTACCAACTTGAGTTGTGGGTCACCAACCTTAGATGAGCCACAACCCCAGTTACCAGTGGCTATGGATTGTATCCCTGATGCAGACTCACCCTTATTTGCAACTCCGCTCAACATTGATGCCTGTAAGGTAAAAAAACTGAGTAAGACAGTCTTACTATCAAGGCAATGAACAGCTTCCTGTTTGATTTTTCAAGTTACTTTTTGGTATAATTTTGCTAGTACGCATGAAAGTGTGCTGTATGCAAGCATCGGTTTCTACCACTTTCACTTTTATATATAACTTTGTGAGACTTGCTATGGGCTGAATGAGTGGTTCATTTCCTGGTAAGGGCAAGGATTTATCTTATTTCCACTGTATCCAGATGAGCTCTTGCCCTACACAGCCTCCAATCCAGTGGATACCAGGCGCTCTTTTCCTGTGGGTAAAGTACGTCGTGGGTGTAAAGCTAGCCATTCGCCTCCCTTTAGTGCCAAGGTTATGAATGTGTGGAGCTATACCTCAACACGGTGTTTACTTTTTAAGTAATTTGTGTTACAAAGTCTTCCTTACTTAGCTGAGGTCAGCCTTAGCATTAGATGGGAGTGAGTAGTGAGCTTCACACTTTGGCCAGCCTTATCCTAGGGTTTATTAAAAATTATCACATGTATGGTCCCTAGTTTATTACTAGTAAGTAATTACAGACATATAGGAGTGAGAAATTATTTTTTAAATTTGTGATTAGAAAACTGAACACAGATGTCAGCCAAATGAATCAAGGCGTCTTTCTTTTTGTGCATATTCTGTTGGTAACCTAATGGTATTTTAGCAAAGACCATACAAATCCCCTTCTTTTTTGGTTACCAAGTGTATATGTACACACAGAAGTATTAAGAAAAGCATTTGCCACTTCCAAATCCCATTCACTTCTGAACTCTGTACAAAAGTACAAAACGAGTCTCTGTACAAAATATTTTTGAAGATAAAAGCATGAAACAAGCTTTATCAAAACGTAGCAGAAGAAAGAAATATTGTGTTAATATCATTGTTAACCTTACTGGAAGCATGAAAGATGTCAATCCTCTTCAGAATAAAATCAAGCTAGAAAGGCGTATTCCATACCAAATATATGCATAATATCCTCATGCATTCTTTGAAGTGCACATATAAGAGGTATTTATTACATACTCCTTGTACCGCAAAATAAATATACAGATTTTAAAATTTAATAATTTCTAACTTTTATAATTTTTCAAAACTTGTAAATACTCACAAAACTAAAATTTTCAAAATTTCAAGATCCAAAATTAAATAACAACATTCGAAATTCTAACATTTAAAATTCATATTTAAATATCTATGCTGACCTAAACTTCCCTAACTGAAACTAAACAAACCTAACCTAACATCTTAATTTACCTGTCACACCTGAACAAACCTAACCTGACATAACATGTTTTGACTTACCCTACCAGACCTAACCTAAATATAACCAAAAACTAACCTGTCCCAACAAAAACAATCTTATCATAGACTAACATTTCAGCTGATCTCCACTTACAATCAACAGAGAGTATAGTTTTTTGTGTAATAAGCTACTTTTAAAATATTTGATTAAAATATAGCTGTCAGCGTGAATCTTTCCATCTTGTTGCATACAAATGGAAATTAATGAGATACATATAAAAGCAGTGACACCAAGCTATGTTAAAATGCAACATACAAGAACGATGTGAAACAGATCTTATGTCATGACAGTTTTGTGTCTTAGTACAAGATGTGGTCCAGTACTTAATTGTGCAGGCTGATTACAATGTAACCTGTTCAGGCAGGCAGGTTAAAGCCAAAGTTGTGTTTTACATAACGGGACTAATTTTCACAGACATGTTGTTCCAGCACAGAGTTAGTTATTCAGTTTACAGATTCTGTGTGCAATATGTCAGTACAATCGTCTTAACAGAGAGGGCCATGCTTATGTTAACTGAGTAAGTCATGCCTTCTTATTATTAATTACCATTTTTAGTCAGCAGTGCAGTGAATGGTAATGATACACATAACAATTCCTGCCATGCCTGAACAAGATGTAGAATGAGAAATTTGTACCCACTACAAAGAATACCACTATCTTTTGCTAGACTCTATTTAGAAGATTCACAGAATCAATCCTGAAGCTTATTGTGCACTTTCTTTCGACAAAGTAAACAGTACAATGGAATTCGGCATTGTCGACAAGGGTCATATTAAAATAAGGCATGGAATGGATGAGATCTCACCTCATTTATATGAATTTTTTTCATCTCTGAAAAAGTGTCTTCAGAGTTCATGGTTATCCTAAACAAATGAAAGAAATATTTCATAAACAATTTAAAGGCACATATGTTATTTTTCTGTCATAACAAAAATTGTGTTTATTTTAACATTAAATTACAATAACATTATTTTAGATATGGAGTGACCTTCATGCTCCAATTAAATATAATTAAAATGTACAAAAATTGTTGTTGCAGTAGTATAAAGTACGAGGGAACGTCAAATGACAACCTTAAAAGTTAAAGATAATATCAAGAACCTACCATGTGCAGCTGTAGGCACAGTAAGTTATTAGCTAGGGTCAGAGGCACAAACTTACTGGGTGCGGTACTTCTGGCAATGCAGAATGCATGCACAAAGGAGGAACAGCAATCTGTCATCCATTTCTTGGTTAAGGAGGGTGTGAAATCCATCGCCACATGGAGTTCCAGTACAGTAACACGTGCTTATCGCTACAGCAGGTGTAAGAATGGAGTAGGAAGTTTAGGAATGGCATGTCTAGTGTGGCAGATGCTCCTCGACTGGGCCAGGCCCACGAGTTGTAACACCGCAGGCAGTTTCATAGGTCGATCGTGTCATCACAGAAAACCGTTGAATTATGGTGGACGAAGTGGTGCCATGTTGGACATAATTCACGGTTCAGGTTGCCATATCATTCGTGACATGCTACAGTTCCGCAAGGTGGATGCCTGAACTGAAGGAGAAATGTGTGGATGCCTACCACGAACTTTTGCGATAATACGAAACAGAAGGTGATGGCTTCCTGCAGTGCATAGTGACTGGTGATGAAAGCTGGGTCCACCACTCCAGCCTGAAACGATTTCACCTCACCAAAACCCCAAAAATTCCGCACACACGCATCTGCAGTAAAGGCGATGCTGACACCGTTCTGGGATCGCCGAGGCCCACACGTCCAAGGGGACCACAGTCACCAGTGCCACATATTGTGACCTCTTTAGGAATCATTTGAAACCAATAAACACCAAAATGTCGTGGACTGCTCAATATTAGTGCCTTGCTGCAGCATGATGACGCTCGGCCCCAAATTGCCCATGTGACGACTACAACCATAGAGAACATGCGTTCGGAGTGACTATACAAGCAGTCAAAGTAAATTTCTTTAAGAGGGGTCCAGGCATTAGTGAAGCACTGGAGGACATGCATTGAATGCATCAGGGATTATATTGAAATATGACAAAGCTTTACTGAACCTCTCTTCAATATACAAGCTGTGAAGAAAGTTTTAAGGTTTTCATTTGACTCGCCCTCATAGTATGTAACAGGCTGTGGAGTAATAAATTACTCTAAAATAAATTTAAAGCAATGCAATACATTTTTGAATAAAGGGTTATATCCAGCTGATTACTTCCATGGGACATGAGAATGTCTGCTATTGCATTATATTTTCTCCTATCCATTTTCGGTTTAACACAGAAGCAGCAGCATTTATTTATGTGATGGTATTTGACCGAGATGGCTGTGAAGGTTCAGAAATATGGCGGTGGAATTGTATGAAACTGGTAGAGGAATGTCTTTCTTTGTGAAGAGTGCAAGTTGTGGAACTGGTTGTTGAGAGACTACTCGGTACGCTTTTCCAAGTCCTGTCCGATGATGTCATGCGAAGTGCATGCTGTGACCCACCGTGTACTGAACCACAGACAAGAAATTTGCTGTTTGAGAGGAGCTAAGTCAAGTCACCTGTGTTGTTGCAACCTTCCTGCGATCATCTGCAACAGGCAGATGGAACCAGAACTCTTGGGGCGCCAGTGTTTGCACTACCATCCCAGGAACCAGGGTAACCCAGAATATGTGTGTTTGTCCAGTTATGTCCTCAGTGCTTTCTTCTTGCTGCAGTTGGTGAGGCAGGGAACAGTTCCATGAGTGGACTGTGTGGTAGACAGTCTTACATACTGTACCAGATATAGAAGGATGCCCCTTGCAACCTGTTCTATTTCAAACGAGATACTTTCACCTCCCTCATCAGAAGATAACAGAAGTAATACGGTGAAATGATCTATTCAGTTACTGAGACGTGTAGGTCACTTTGAAATGTGCATAAGGAAGTAATTTTTGAGATGCTAATTATACGTCTAAAATAAGTCATTTGAAATGTGCATAAGGAAGTAATTTTGAGATGCTAGTTATACGTCTAAAATAAGTCGGTCGCTGTTTGAAACTCACCAGCTGAGAGGTGAGTCTGTGCTTGTGCCTGGCAAGCTCCAGACTTAGAGACCTTGCAACCAGGGCGAGCTTTGTCCTGTTTCTGTCTGCTTCCATCTGTCCCAGTGGCCCTTGCTGCCCCTCAGTGAGAGGAACACCAGCAAAAGAGTCGCTGAGAGTCCTCTTGAGCAGGCTGCCAGCAAAGCGTACCACAGCGATGTCTCGGGCGTCCAGCTCCCGATTCTTGTCCACGTCGTCGAGCCAGCGACTGTACTGTTCGTAAAGTTCCTCCAGTTCTATAGCACACAGTGACAAAAGAACTGTACGAAGTGTGACACCTGATAACTGGTTCCCTATCGTTACGAAATCACAATCATCATTACTATCATCACAAAAGTCCCATCTCGAGCCAGCTCAATTCAGTCGATATCTCCAAAGCACACATTTCCAAAGTAATGTCCGATCAAAGTTTGAAATGTATTATAATAAGTTTTCTGCCTTCAGCCTAGTTTCATACAAAATATGTATGCTGTATTAAAAAAAATGAAGAGCTTGAAATTTTCTGTCCCAAACCAGAAGTAATGTAAGCATTCAGCTGGTGTTATAATTTAAGTTATTTGTAATCTCCTTGCATATGTCCATATGTGGCTGTCTATACCTTTCATTACCTACAGTGATTTATGGCAGATGTCTGTTAAACAGAGACACCAATATATATTCGGATATATAAAATAATTTTCGAGCAGAATGACACAGTTCTGCATTTGCAATCAATAAATAAGATTTGCTCTTCTAAATTCAGCAGTACGTTGCTATACCTGAGCTGTACTCTGTACTGAAACTAAACTTGGAGGAATCAGACGTGTCCTGTCGACTCAAAGCTCCATGTCTTTTGTTTTGAAACTTGTCGATCCATTCCCTCTCTTGCTGTAAAGATTCCCTGAGGAACTGGTCATCAAGTGAATCTTCCTGAAGCATAAAGCCTCTGGATCCTCCTCGTCGGACTCTGCCAAGTAACAAAATAAATGTGTGAAGAAAACACTTCCAGTAGATCTGTGTTCACATGGTGTCACTGTAGTAGTCTGTAATACTGCTGTTCTCATATTTGTGTGATATGATTTGTAAATTAGTAAATTAATTAATTACAAAATGGTAACTAAAAATGTAACCAAGTTTCGAGATATGTCATGTGCTCCGATCACTTATTTATAATGTATAACAGTTTGAAATAAAACTATTTTACTCATTATGAAGCCCTGATTTCCGGCATATTTTGACCAATTGCATCAACACACATTACTATTCAATGGGTTCAGGGTCCCCCTCCCCCAGAAAAAAAAAACATGATGATGTTCAGAGCTTCGGCCGATTGTTCCCAATAGGCTGTTGTGTCCTGTGGTCTGGTGCTTGTTGCCCCCATCATCAGGGTGATGAGTAACTTTACTGTTTACTGACAATGGAGGCAGCAAGCACCTCTGAAATATCGGTAAACTTCCACCAAATTACTCGGAAGACAGCCATCTTCGTATTTTCTACCATGAGAACCAGAGATCTTACCTGAGGATTACTAGTAAATTTAAGTACTTATAAACCTGACTGCCGTAACAAGTGATGTGTTGTTCTGTGTCGACCACTGTACTGTGGCTGGACACATTTACTCACCTGATATCTCCATCCACCAATCCTGACCCAGTGACACTGATGCCAACGGCATAACTTGAGTCAATGCTTGAGGTGCTCCGAGTCTCTCTGCAGAGTGCATCACGAAGTCGCTCGGCAAATGTCGAGCGTCGGTCTGGAGTATCCAGCTGCGCGCTGTAACGCCGCGCATCTTCGCTCTCTGCGGACAGTGTTTTACAGCATACGACTATATGTCACCATCTGACAGTTTGCATGTTACAAAGTAAAAGTGTAATAGTGAGGTTTCAGATAGAAGATAAGAAGATGAAAGATTCTAAACTAAATGCTGCATTACTAACCGATATCTTCGTTGTCAAGACTTGTACGTGCGCTGTGAAATTCTTCAGATGCTGCTGAGGTGGAGTGGCAGCTAGAGTAGAGGCTGCACGCTCCCAAAGGCTGTCTGCTAACAGGAAGACACTCCCCCGAGGAACCGAGCACAATGAATCGACCGCGACGAGAAGTGGGACTTGGAGGCCTCAGCCACTCTTTCTGTGAGGTAGAAGATTCCACTTGCTGGGTGACTAGCAGTGAAGGTGGACATGCCCTTTCCTCCTGCTGTCAAACAGATCTATTTCTTGCGGCTGTTTGAATATTTGTCATGATTTCATGTTAATTGTTCAACCATGACAAAGATGCTTTCTCTCTTTCATAAAAAGTTAGACAAGGCAGATTCTTAGAAAACGCTGAAGGGAAGAGAGACATTGGGAGACATAAGCATAGATGATAGGGTTATATTAAAATGTAGAAACGGTGTGAGAATGTAGACTATTCATTGGCTGAGAACAGAATTCAGCGACAGACACTTGTAAGCCATCTGTTCCATAAAAAGCAGGGATTTTCCTGACAAATTGACTAAGTATATTAGTGTCTTGAGAAAGACGTCTATGGAGTTATTCTTTCATTCCGAAAACATACTTGGGATTGTTGCTTTACAGACTCCACCTCCGGAGGTGTCGAACTGAATGATTCTCCAATGGGGGAGAGACGCCTTGTGACGGGCTGGGATGGCTGTGGTGAAGCCTGCTGCCGAAATGCAAGTAGAGCCTTGTTCAGTTCCCTCAATACATTGTCCTCCTCAAATTGACTGAGCGGTAGCCGCAAGTAGTTCTCTGCATCCATGCAGCACACAGACCTCTGCAATCAAGTGATGTATCTAAATTCAGTCCTAGGAATGTCCTTAACTCGGATCTTTGCAGTTTTCGACTGCTGACAAATGAAACAATAAGTTCTCGCTCAATTTTTGCAGACTCATTAATAATATCCATTTTTTTATTTACAAACCTCAGTTAAGAATTCATTTACAATTTCTGTTACTAGGTATAATTGAAGAAAAGTGTTCTATTTAATATTTTGGTGGTTGTAAGAACGCGACAACTGTGAGGGGGGAAAAAAAGTTAAAACAACACTTAGAACTTTATCCATCAGTTACCCACCACTTGTGTCTGTGGCAAGGGTTCAAAGTTTGCTTTGATGTGTGGATCTGAGATACGGGCCACTTGTAGCAATCCTTCTACCGACAGAATCTCATTGTCCTCGAGAGCTTCAATGTGGGGTAATACTGCCAAAAGTTCAGGCTGAATGCAGAATTGTATGCACTCCTGTGAAGCAAGTTCAAAAAACATGTACTCAATGCGTATCTCACCCTTGGTTATTTAATGATGCTATTTTAATGGCTGCATTTATGTTGCATTGATAAAAGATGTGATAATGATTATCCTCCTCCCTAGGCTTTGTGATGCGTTGAAAATAGTTTCCGAACGTATAAAATAATTTTACAATACTAAATGCGCTACGTTTGTCTTGCTACTGTGTGTTCCTTCATCTAGCTGATGATTTCAAACTGTTCTTTGGATTAAAATGGTAATTACAGTTATATTAACATCATAATGTACTAAACTGCAACTCATGGAGGTTTTTTCATCACATACTGAACAAAAATTCATGTCAGACACAAATTTTGATTGCAAGTACAAGTTGAATTTCTTGAATTTTAATTGTTCAGAAATGAAACACTGATAATTTTTACTAATACCGTTATAGATTTTTGTTTCTGTTAGAAGGGACAAATAGTACTTAGGTATACAAAATGGTGGAGATATCAGGTATGGAGCGTCAATATATCTTATACTGGAATTTTATAAATGTTTGTACTGTTGGTATAATCAATCTTGGTAATAACTGGGCACAATATCCACCTGATGAAATACTTCACTAAACACAAAATAAAGTTCTGCCAACCTGAGAACTTCCATCACCAAGTACGAGTCCCCCTAGTCGGCTGCTCGTGAAGCACACTTGCAGTAAGTTGTTTTCAGCTCTCTCCAGCCTGCCCTCATGTCTGATAGCAAGTGGACAGAGTGCTTTGGCACTCTCTAGCCAGTCCTCTATGGTAAGCCACTCTTTGCTCGTCATCACCTGACGCGAGTACGTCACTCGTCCCTGGGGCTCCACGTCCGCTGCCATCTTGTCAAAATAATACAGGATGCTGCGTAACTTTGCCTTTTGGCTGTTCCTGTAAGAGTAATTCAATATACCTCGTGCATGAGATACGCAGTTATACTTTACTTACCATTACACTTCTCTTCAGTCTATCAGTGCAGAATCCTTCATGAGAAACCAATAGTATCTATACTCGAGATATTCCCTGCCTTTTATGGAACCCAGCAGTTCATTATTGTATTCACAAGAGGCAACCATCAGTCCATAACCTAAGCCAGATGTATCCAATCCACACTTAACAGCATTTCCCTAACATCCATTTTAATATTATCCTCCCATCTGTGCTACTTGAAAGCAGGCTTCTCAATCAGAATTTTGTATGAATTTCTCATCTCACCCACGTGTGCTACATACCCCACCGAATTTCATCCCTTTTGATTTAACCATCCCTCGTATGGTGAGGAGCCCCGTTATGAAGTTTTCTCCATCTGTCTTAAGTCAAAATATTCTTAGCTCCTTATTCTCGCTTCGTTTCTTCTTCCCTTAACATGATGGACCATGTTCATATCATACAAAGTAAAGGATAAAATTTCAGTTCTGTTTTGGTCAGTGTTTACATTTTTGGATATAAAATGGGAAAACAAAATATTCTGAAAGATATAGTAGCAAACATTTCTGAAATTAATTTCCTCATGAATGAAATTCTGATTTGTTACTGTGCTCCTATCGGATCAACATTTTATTTTTTATTATACTATCTCTTTTCCATCTGTAATTCAGTTACTCACAGTTTTTGGACATTATGAGGATTCATAAATACGCAGACAAACATCCATGGCTTGAGTGGGATTCGAACCCACGGTCCCAGCGACCAAGCGGCACAAGGCCCACGCCTCAGACCGCGCGGCCACTGCGGACCCCGTGGGTATAAACAGCAGTGATTGTTAAAATACAGACTGAGCTGTAACTTTTGTTTTCATTTTCTGTGATACACGACAAACATTAAACACTGCAGATCATCAGAATTTCATAGACCTCATCACATATTACATTTTTAAACTATTATCATCTCCTCCTTTCATTCTCTGAAGTACTGATTCCTCACATGTTCAGGTGTCTGAAGAAATTTGTAAAGTTGAAGTCCTGGAGTGTCGGGTGTGTCTTGATGGTCCGTTTTGGAAATGTAGAAAAGAAAGCATGAGCTAGCAGTGATGCGATGAATCCGCGCTCTAACTCCACTCGATCCACTGTAACGCACATTTAAAATCATAATTATTTGTTTTTCAGTGATATGATTTACAAGTTCTTATTATTTTATTTATTTATTTTTTTGGAAACAGGTATGGGAAGTCTCTATTGTCAGCAGAAGGGAGTGAAAATTCTTCTGTAACATCACTCAGTACCTAAACCATTTATGCATATAGGCAATGCTGATAAATAATTGTGTGTCAATATTTAATTTATTCAGAAACTTTCCATATAAATTACTTCACAAAATTTGATTGAGTTAGATAAATTGTTTAGGAAATGAAAGAATTCACTTCCTTCCGCCTGTACCAAACTTGTTATTTTGAAGGAGATTTTGCAGCATTTTGTGACTGTTATAGAAATGCTCACACCCAAGAAGAAAGAGCGCGGTTCACCTTGCTGCTGCAAACTGAACCGCAAGCCACCTGCAGGTTTGAGTTGTTTCAGCTGCAGTGCTTTATGCACCATGGACGGAGCGGTCACCTCAAAGAAGTGACACCGCTCCTCCTCTGTCATTTCAGAATCCAGGAAGACTTCCAAGCCTCCAAATATAGTGAGGTCTGGCTTATCATCATCATCAGGATCCAAACCAATACTAAAAACAGCAAATTATAAAATTTTAAAACTGCAAACCAATGTATTTAAATGACAGAAACTGATTTTATGGCCCTTACTACATTAGACTACTTTTCTCAAGGTCATGTACTTGATAATGTACTTAGACTGAACACTGTCAAATGTGTTCCAAACAGCTCGTATCTGTGATTACAAATGGACCAAATTTACGAATTAATTACTATATTTTCTTATTACAAGAAAGAAAATTAGAACATTTTCAAAGAATTCAATAAGATGGGAAAACATACTTGATATTTTTTGTGTATGTGACTTATATTTTTCTGCATTACTGAGCTAGTGGAAGAATTCTCTGCTACGTACTATCACTTTAGATACTTTGGAACATTTTTCCCTGTTCAAATGATCCACTGTAGCTTCTGGATATAACATCGCAAGCTTTTATTACTGGATCCATGGGGCAGCGTGTAGGAATCAAATGTTTGAGGTGAAGAATTAGTTTGTTGATGTTAAGAAGTTAATGGCCATGTCTTACTCATATGAAGCACTGTATTTTTTGTGAGAAATGTCATGTTAAATGAAATTATATAGCGTTTCCATTAAGTTTATTAAAATAAAAAGTAAAATTCACATGAATAAGAACAGGCAATGTGTAAATCAAAGAAATTTCTGCTGTCTAGTAAGCGACCAAATTGCTTGAAATTTGTGACCCCCACTTGCACATGTTGTGAATCTTCTGCATGCCGTCAATCAGGTCCTTGGAACTTCGGGCCTGCGAAACTTGCGTGAGGTGGCATTGTACTGTGGGCCACCAGGGCAGGTCACATGGTAATATCACCAGAGCCATCTTCAGTTTGATTATTCTTACAATCTCAAAATCATCAAATGTGTCACATCTGCAACAAGAGAGACGAGTACAACAGATAAGGACATGGCCAAATGCAGAAACCTGGTTATTTAGAAATGTAAGTTTCCAACATCTAGCATGCAGTTCCAGTTGATGATGACATGAAATTGGTGGATGCCAAGGTGATGGTGCTTATACACTGGGGTGGTTCAGCCAGGGACACAAGAATGCCCACAGGCATTGCAGGTATTCTGAAGAGAAATTGAGTGCGCGATTCCTCTTCCTCTCTCAGGTCCAAATATTCAACTCCACACTTTCTTCTCAAACACAATCTATGTTCTTCTTTTAATCTTTAGGTTTCTAGATATGAGATGGGACAATAAAAGATTCTGAACCATATAAACTGTTGCTAATTAATTTTCTAGCAAATGGATATATACTAGAATGCTTTTTGAATTCTGGCAAAATGAGGCATCCTTTCTCAGTAAGATGTTATATTACACAGATGTAATTAATAAACATATCAAATTCCTATTATGTCATAAATTAATCTGCTTCATAAATTCTGGGCACTGCTTCTGGAGAAACATGAACTCTTATCTGACACTTGTCACTGAAATCCACTAAGTTAGCAAACTGGGGACCATCATGTTGTTGTGACAAGTTATACAGTGACGAAATGCCTCTTTTGTAACACTTTACAATGGTTAAACTAGTGACGTTTTGAGCCGTGCTTAATACGACGTTGAATAACTAACCTCAACTTTTCTTCAGTTTGGAGACAATGATTAAAAATTTCTAGTAACCCTATCATTAATACATCACAAGATTCCTTCTCAAACAGTTGCCTGGTTCGTTTTTTCCACCACAAACTTCACCCCTTTTCAATGACAGTTACAGTTTGCAATGGTTTTAACATTTGCAATAGTGCCATTGCACCAAAATGCGCCAAGAGGCACTGCTGTGGGGAAAATATTCCTAAAGCACTGAAAACAGTGTTAAACGAGGCTGTGAAGATGTGTAACAAAACCAGTGATTCTAAGTTTTCAATACGCTTTGTTAAGAAATTGTTAGCAGTTGCACAAAACTACTGCTGCAGAAGAAGGTTTAGTGGTTATCACGAAGCAGAGGTTCGGTTCGTGTAGTCACACTACACTCATAAATGTTATTTAGCGTCAAATATCCCTCCCAACTTTCGCCATGTGCGTAATAGTGTGTGGCTCCATATCTAGCATTTTACAAAGACAGGTTAACTAAATTTACCATTCCAAGATAAGACTATTGTATCACAGCGCTTGAAAATATTTAAGTCCTTGCACAAAGCATATTTTTGGAGGGCTTGCGTTGAAAGAAAATGTCACACTATTTTCCGACATTGAATTACTCTTAATGAACTGGAAAGTCAAATACGAGTTATGTTCTTTTTGAAGAAGTGGAACATTTTGGATACCTACAAGGATATTTTTCATCTGTGGTAGAAAGTTTTCAACGGTTACAAAACCCGTTTATACTGCCTTCCTCAGAGCAAAGATTATTAAAAAACATTATGAGAAATTCAGTGACATTTTAATAGACGCGTTTTCTTTGACTTCCGGATTGGTCTGAAGGAACAGTTGACGGTCAAGACGCTACTTCCGTCTCATTTACATATCTGTGCAAACAACTTTCTCAAGAAATGTAGCAACAGAAAGCATCGTAATGGGCTTTGGACAGAAAACGACATGAAGGTAGTTCTCCAAAACCGCACGACTTCATCTCGCTTGTGGCCAGCAAGGAGGTAAGAATACACTAGATACATAGAACATAAACTGTTTAAAAAAAGAGCTGTAAATAAAGTTAGGTTGTTAATGAAACGAAAGTTTTGGTCTCAAGGGCTCCGCGAGAATATTACAAAGCGTTACACACTAGTAAACATTTTGAGAGAGGTTCTCACACAGGTTCTGTGATGATTTTGTATATTAATTCCTTTCTTTCCGTCAGTTTGATCTCAGCAGTGCTTTTGAACCTGTTCCGAATGCCTTGCGTCTGCTGTTTACATTAACTGGTTCCACAGTTACGTAACCAACTCATTGCCTTGCGTTGTTTACTCTGGACCGGTCACAGTCTTTCAGCGTAAATATCCATTGTCCTTCAAGGATCTGTGTTAGGACCTCTATTATTCAACGCGTGTATTAATGACTTATGGGATGTTATTAATTCTTTTCAATTTTCGTGACAGCTCTTTACTTCAGAATGGACATCGACTCTATATGTGACTATGCAGATCGAACCATATGAATATTATTGTTAATAAAACTAGGGTTATTTCCTTTGCTAGGAAAATTAACACAATTCCTTTCTACCATGAACCCTGCAGATATTATAAATCGTACGAATGCCATTAAAGCTCTGGGCATTGTTCATCAATTGCGTTGTGTTAAATTCGGCAGTAAAATGTATGTTAGATCTCAGATATTTATTGACGTATAGCTAGTTAAAAATGAATAACGCAGAAGCTTATGAAATAATGGAAAAGTACCTTAAATTACTTAACCTCCAAGTAAAGAAAAATCACATAGTGTAAACATGTAGGTATACTAAACTTCTGAAAACATGTATTTTCCAGATATGTTCATTTTATTATACGTACATCGTTGTCCTTAATGTTCAATTATTTCCGATGCAGTTCTTATAATCGGTCAATTACAACTAATTTAACCATATCACAGCGTAATCTCACGTGTTTAAATTATCTATATGATATCTCTGTAAGAGTGATACAAGTCCTTTACTTAAAACGAAGTTCTATCGCTGTTCGATTTAGACCTTTAATATCTGTAATGAGTAATATTTCTTTGTCCTCATGAAGGTTTGTGGATTTTAGCCTTTGTAAGCCATTCTCTGGAAAGCATTCTACAGAATCAGGGAAATGACAATGATTTATACAATTATATCCAGCGTTCTACGTTTCTCCGTCTCTGGTCTAACTGTTACGTAATTATAAGAGATTATATCATGCAAAAATGACCTTTGTCTACAGCGGTTTCGTTTCTTGTACATAAGGTTCATTATTCTGCGCCACGCAATTGAACACTGTTTAGTTGAACAAGAGACTGCCATTTCCATTACTCTAATGTACCTCACTTTAAGATAATCCCGGTGGATAAAAATGCGTTTTCCTACAAATTTGCTAAGACATACATAATGTTAAATTTATGTTTAAAACTCACGTCTTATGCATACATAAGAGTCAGACAGAGGATAAAGGTGACGTGTTTTAGTAAAGGAAAAGTGTCCTTAAATGTATTTGTACGGTTTATTACTCCTACAGCAAAACGTACGCCAACAGTGTGTGGGACGCTGCTCTGAATTGTGTTCCGATATTGTATTGATTGTCCAAATAGGATGGAATATTTAGCTAAAAGAAGGGAAAAAGAATCATCACGAAATTTGCTGTTACTGAAATGCCACCTACCGACAGCTTTTAATACTAGTTCCTCTTCGATGCAATTTCTGTTTCGGTGGTTCGACGCCATTTCACACCTATACAAGTGCAATTGTTTTGGTTCATAGATTCAAACTTCAATGGGAACTTAAGCTGACGTTTAATTATCGGATTTGCTTCGACCAGCGGGTCCG